AAAAAAAAAAAAGATAAATTTGATGCATAGTCTTTATGCATACGTTTTTCCGTTTTTTTATGATAATCGAATGTTATTTTTTTGCAGCTTCTATCACTTAATATTATGAATAATTTTCTACACGAATACACATGGTACTTAATAACTTAAAATGTCGGTGTAGTATGCCATCATTTACTGTTAGACATTAGATTGTTTCCAGTAAGTCGGTGTCATAAAGAGAACTAGTGACTCTATTATTATTATGGGGTTTTTTTTCAGTTGAGACAGAGTATCGTTCTGTTGCCCAAGCTGGAGTGCAGTGGCCAGATCTCAGCTCACTGCAGCCTCCACCACCTGGATTCAAGCGATTGTGTGCCTCATCCCCCTGAGTAGTGAGGACTACAGGCACGTGCCACCACGCCCAGCTAATTTTTTGTATTTTTAGTAGAGACAGGGTTTCACCACGTTGGCCAGGCTGGTCTCGAACTCCGTACCTCAAGTGATCCGCCCGCCTTGGCCTCCCAGAGTGCTGGGATTACAGGCATGAGCCGCTGTGCCTGGCGACTTTATTAACTTTTTATTCTTTCCTTGGACACAGTATCCAAAAAGAGATTGGTGTTTCAAAGATATGCAAGATTTTTAAGGCTCTTTGATATGTATTGTCAAATTGCCCCCCCCCAGAAAGAACACATGAATTTACACTGAGCAGCTCTGCTTCCAGCATGAAAGAAAGACTCCATCATACTGTTTTGGTGTTTTTTCCCCTAGCTCTCAGACTCCCCAGTACAATGACTCAAGCAGAAATTAAGCTCTGTTCTTTGTTGCTGCAAGAGCATTTTGGAGAGATTGTAGAAAAAATTGGAGTCCACCTGATAAGAACTGGCAGCCAGCCACTAAGAGTAATTGCCCATGACACAGGAACATCACTGGATCAGGTACGTCTAAATGACATTCATTTTCTCTCATTTCTTTCGCTAATTTATTTCGCCCACCTTTGAATATTGTTCTTCTCACCCCAGAAAAGGAAAAAATGAAAAAGCCTGCCCTGGGAGCAAACAATGTTATTTGGGGGAAAAAAGGATGGGACTTAGACATCAACATTTTGTTTCTCAGAGTGTTTCTAGTTCATCACAGCGTCTTAGGCAAATCTTTGCTCTTCCCAAGCCATGCCTCATTTATTCACAGTAAGTCTACTAACCTCAATACTGCCTTTAAGGAATGAGAATGATAGAAGGAAAGTAAATTGTGTTTTGAAAAATAAGGATCAGAGAAAATATAGCAAGGAATCTTCCTGATTTCTTGTATTGATATGTGATTCTTATTAACTACTCCAATGAAGAGAGGAAATAAGAGCAAAGATTCTTATCTAGCCATTTTCTGATGCTTAGTAAGCTGTTGGACAAAAAAATTGCCAGCAATAATGAGCTATATCTTCAGGTCTTTCCTCTCTTTCTTCTCTTTATGTCCCATCTAGGTGAAAAAGGCCCTGTGTGTTCTTGTCCAGCATAACCTGGTGAGTTATCAAGTGCACAAACGTGGTGTGGTGGAGTATGAAGCCCAGTGCAGCCGGGTATTACGAATGCTTAGATACCCCCGGTACATCTATACTACCAAAACTCTGTACAGTGACACTGGAGAGCTGATTGTTGAGGAGCTTCTGTTGAATGGCAAACTGACAATGTCAGCTGTTGTGAAGAAAGTGGCAGACCGGCTCACAGAGACCATGGAGGGTCAGTACTGTATCCACAGCTGTTAGCAAAAGCATAGATCAGCTGGCTACATGAGTGGACCCTGAGCTGTCTTAGGCCATCTCATCTGCCCTTTTCCTCCTGTTACACAGATGGAAAGACCATGGACTATGCTGAAGTATCAAACACATTTGTACGATTGGCAGACACACACTTTGTACAACGCTGCCCCTCAGTACCTACCACTGAAAATTCAGACCCTGGGCCGCCACCACCTGCCCCCGCACTTGTCATTAATGAGAAGGACATGTACCTGGTTCCTAAGCTGAGCTTGATAGGTAAGGAATTTTAACCCCCGGAACTGTGACTTGCCTTAACTGTGGATTCTTCTTGATTGGTTGTTAAACGTATGAACCAGTTAGACATTGTGATGTATAACAATAAAAAAAGTCATGGTGTCTGCCATGGGGCTTTGGTATAAGAGACATACATTAATCAGAAAATCACAATGATACATAATTAAACTGTGATAAGTACTGTGAAGGAAAAGTATGAGGTGTTCAGAAAATACATAATGGAGACTTTGGGAGACGGAGGTGGCTGAATCATTTGAGGCCACGAGTTTGAGACCAGTGTGGGCAACATGGTGAAACCCCATCTCTACTAAAATTACAAAAATTAGCCAGGTATGGTGATGCATGCCTGTAATCCCAGCTACTTGGGAGACTGGGGCAGGAGAATTGCTTGAACCCAGGAACAGAGGTTGCAGTGAGCCAAGATTGCACCACTGCACTCCAGCCTGGGCGACAGAGTGAGACTCTGTCTCAAAAAAAAAAGAAAGAAAACTATATAATAGGGGACTGGATTCATCTGGGAGTTTAGGCCTCATGTTTCTTTGAGAAGGTGGCATTTGAGCTAAGATTTTAAATAGAAGCTAACAGCGAGGTAACAGAGGAAAAGCATTTTTGGCAAAGGGAATAGTATGTAGTAAACAAAAAAAGCATTTGAAGAAATGAAATAATGTCAGTATAGCTAAATCATGGTAAGCAAAGCAAGAGAGGTATAAGATAAGGTTAGAGATAGGCAGAGGTCTGATCTCAGAAGCTAATCAGGATCTACCTGCTTAGTACATGGATGGGAGATGGGCAGGGGCTAAATCAAGTAAGACCTTATAGAGCATCTGTTCTTTATGCTAAGGCAAAGGAAAACCACTAAAGGATTTTTAAGGAAGTGACATGGCCTAAGTTACACTTTTAAAAGATTTTTTGTCTATAGAAAGGATGGGAGGATGGGGCAAAGGTAAGTGTTGACAGGCTGGTGAAAAATGAAATATAGAAAAGGTGAAGGAGACAAGTATCAAGAATGATATCTGTGTGTCTGACTTGTGCATGTGGGAGGATGATTATATCATTGGCCATGAAAGAGAGCATTGGAGGAGAACCAGTCTTTGGAGGAGAAAGACTGTGAGTTTCTTTTTGAACATGTTGAGTTTCAGATTATTTCATCATTTACTTGTGATCCTTAGAGCTCTTCAACCCCCTAAGCAACTCTGATCTAGAGGCAGCTACAGCTGTCTTTGGAATGAAAGACACCTGGTCATTTCCTGTCATCATGTGAGATACGCCTAAGTATTCAATTGTTTGTTTGGCAGGGAAAGGTAAAAGGCGGAGATCATCTGATGAAGATGCTGCTGGGGAGCCCAAGGCCAAGAGACCAAAACATACTACAGATAACAAGGAGGTAATGGGGCTTCTTGATTAGAAGTCCTCACCCTGAAGCAGGCCAGAAAGAGTACTCAGATAACGAGCCCCAAGAGAGCTTAAAGATTCCTGAGCTGGGCCGGGCGCGGTGGCTCAAGCCTGTAATCCCAGCACTTTGGGAGGCCGAGGCGGGTGGATCATGAGGTCAAGAGATCGAGACCATCCTGGTCAACATGGTGAAACCCCGTCTCAAAATTAGCTGGGCATGGTGGTGCGTGCCTGTAATCCCAGTTACTCAGGAGGCTGAGGCAGGAGAATTGCCTGAACCCAGG